AGTGAGCGGTCATGACCGAGACCGGCCCGGCCCGGCCCGGCCCGGCGGGGAGATGAGCTTCTTCGGCTTCGGGCAGAGCGTGGAGGTGGAAATTCTGCTGAACGATGCGGAGAGTAGGAAGCGGGCCGAGCACAAGACGGAGGACGGGAAGAAGGAGAAATATTTCCTCTTCTACGACGGGGAGACCGTCTCCGGGAAGGTGAGCCTTGCGCTCAAGAACCCCAATAAGCGGCTGGAGCACCAGGGCATCAAGATTGAGTTCATCGGGCAGATCGGTGAGTCGGCAGGGCCCTCCCACCGGCCGTGGCGGGCCTGGCGCCGAGAGGGGGGCCGGGGGCAGGGTGAGCCGGGCCCAGCTCCCGCGAGCCTGTCGCCGTCGCTTGTCAACCGCAGTGTGTGGCCTGGGGCTCAGCCACAAGTCCCGCCCGTGGGCGACTCCCCCTGCGTTACTGTCTTCCCTGCCAAAAGTGACAGCGTACCGCCAGGGACGCGGGAGGCGGGAGGGAGCGCCCCATGTGCCTGGCTGGGTGAGCTCGTCGCCCGTGGCGCCCCCGGCGTCTCCTCCACCAGCACCCAGCCTTGCTTCTTGGCCCCAGGATTTCACAGGGAGGTGCACTGACCTAGCCTGCAGGTGGGTGTGTGGGGAGATGGGGGTCGCTGACTTGCCAAACCGGCTCTCCTTCCTGGGCTGGACATCCTCAGCTGTCAGACCCAAAGTAGTGAGGTCGTCAGAGCGGCACTTCGCGCCCCACCCACCCTGTGACTGTTCAGGTGTGGCGTGGGAGAAGGGCTCACCAGTTTTCATGTCGCCCCGACCCTGAATTGTCCATTTTTGTACACGTTTTGAGAAATAAGACCTAGAATACCTAGAATCTACAATCTCTCTGAGGACCTACCTGCCTACATTTCTCAGATCTTATTAGAATGCTTTTTTCTGTCTGATTTTCTCCATGAAGAAAGAGAAAAACAAAATGTTTCTAAAACCACAATGAAACGATCAGACTCAACACTCTTGAACAGTCTTCAAGCATGAAAATTCATCAGTAGAAGTACAGCGGGAACAACAGAGAAGTGGGGAGCTGCCGGTCAAGAAGTGATTGTCCCCAATCCCAAGACTATTTGGAGTCGTGTGTGTTATTAAAATACCCAGGTTCTCCTAAAATACATCGTTTTCATTATTAGGTCTGGAGTAGATTCTCAATAAATACCCTGTAGGCTGCAGAAACCTGGAGAAGAGAATCCAAACCCTATACCCAACCCTGCACACGTAACACTAGTTTTCAAGATGTCCTGTGACAACTTGTTAAACTTTCTCTCATATCCTAAGAGTTTAGGGAAGATTTTGTTTTCTCCCTTTAACAGAGGGAGGAAACAGGCATGGAGGAAGAGCCCTGGAGAGTCATGGTGAGCTGGCTCTGCAGAAGGGTTTTGCCTGCAATATTTAAGAAAATGTTACCAGGTCGAGGACTGCTGATCCTACGCGGACCTTTCTGTTGTTTTAAAGCCAGAATAAGAGAGGCCTGTTGCGGTATCTGATAATGAGTGGACCATGACTATCACCTCCGCTGGCCTGCTCCTGGCTCAGAAGGCGGGTTCTCACCGGCAGGGCTGTTGACATTTAGGGCCTGATAATGCTTTGCTGTTATTGGATGTTTACAACATTCCAGCCTCTACAGACCAGATAGCAGTAGCATCCCTCTCTTGTGACCACAGAAATGTCCTGAGATAGTGCCATGTCCGCTGAAGGGTATAAGCACCCCTTGTAGGAATGATGGGTAGATCGGATGAACCCAAAGCAGTTAATGTAAAGCATGATATATAAAATAGTCACACAGGGACCAGCAGGTGGCATGGTGATTAAGGCACTGGATACTCCCACATGGCCTACCAGAGTTCGAGTCCTGGACCTGTTGGCTTGCTTTCTCACCTTCCCACTCTCTCTCTCTCTTTCTCTTCCCACTCTGTCTCTCTCTAGTCAAATTTTTTTTAAAAAAATGAATGAATGAATGAATAAAATGAGAACAAATTATTCTTTAAAAAAATAGTCAAATAAGCCTTGTCCACTGAGAATTGTTTTTTTTTAAAGATTTACTTTATTTGTTATTATTTATTTTTAATTTTATCAGAGAAAGAGAGAGAAAGGGAAAGTGAGAAAGCAAGCTGCCAGGTCCAGGACTTGAACCATGGTAATCCATGTGGGAGTCCAGTGCCTTTAACTACTAATACCACCGGCTGACCCCCAAAATTATTTATTTTTAATTTTATTTATTATTATTTTTAAAAATTCACCAGAGAGGGTTAGAGACAGGGGTTGGGGGTGGGAAAAAGTGAAAAAGCAAGCTGCCAGGACTCAAACTGAGGTCAGCATGTGGGAGTCCAGCACCCCAACCCCCACACCACCCACTGAGCCCCGAAGCCTGCGTGTATAAACTAAACAGCTTAGCCTACACACCCAGGCCGCGTGGTATAGCCCATACACTCCTTACGGGACCACCACTGTAGAGGCAGTCTTTGGCTGAAACCTTGATAAGCGATGCCTGATTGTTGTAGCTTTAGTTATTCTTTGGTGTCGTTCTACCAGTGTGGACGGGCACATTGACTCTGTGTCTATACCGTCACTCCAGGTGGCGGTACTCTGCCAATAGGTAGAGGGTACCATGAGCAGACATAGGAAATGAGCTGCCGGAGGAGGAACGGTGTCCACCTCCCTATAGTCAAGCTCAAAAGCGGCCGAGGCTGCTGCCTGCTGCACCTCCCCTGCCTGGTTTCTTTACTAAACTCTTTAGTCCCAAGGCATCCTTCATGCTGCATTTGCTCAGAACCTTCTGCCACTTTCACTGGCAGGGCTAGGCGGGCACTCTGGGTTGAGCTGGCCATGAGACTGGCTCTCTGGGCCTCAGCCTTCTCAGCTGCAAAGCGAGCGTCAAGCAGTCCCCTGATGAGAAGGTTGAGCACGTCTGGGGATCACGCGCTTGCTCTCAAAGAGCATCCCTATAAAGGTGGTAGTGGTCCGCTTCATCCCGTCGTTAGGCACTGGCTCACTGCGCTGCCCCTCACACCTCTTGCACCCCGCTCTCCCCAGGTCAGATTGTATGTGCTTCTGCAGGAAGGGCATGTTTCAGTCCTCTGCCTTAGAGCTCTTCAGCTGCGGGGACCAAACGCACCTGCTGCTGGGGGCACAGCCAACGCCAGCTGCCCACTTCCAGTCCACGTCACTCCCAGTTAGCCATGGTGACACGAGGGGATAGTAACGAGTACTGAATGATGGACAGTATGCATCTTATTTGGCTTTGGAGTGTGTTTCTTGATCAAGAACAAAGCATTAGGCTAACCTTTTTAGTGATCTTTGATATGAAAGGGAGGTTGTGTTCCTGAAATGCACACGTGGCTTCTAGAGAGAGGTATGGGCTGGTTTGGGGGCACAAAGTGACTTTTCCTGGGTGCTTTCATACCTCCCGCTTATTCTGGCTTCCCCACAGAGCGTGAAGTATTTATGTCGTGCACCTAAGACCCGAGCTCTGAATGCCTGGGCACCCGCGGGAGGCTGGCGTGTAACTTCGCAGAAGCTGTGGTTTGTGGTTTTCTCCTTGGTTGCCTGCTTTGCTTATGCATGAAGAGGGCGGAGCTCCAGGCAGTTCTGTGGTCTGGCGGAGTGGGTGGTGACCTGGGGTAAGAAAGCTGGTGTCACTGAGCCCTGTCCCCCTTCCTTGTTGAGGTTGGGCTGGGGTTTTGGAGAAGGGCAGGAAGAGGGCTCACCTTCATCCCTGCCGTCCCTTCGCACTCTAACTTGCTCTGCGGTCTCGCCTGCACTGTGGCTTTGGTGCCTTCCTGTGTCCCGCTGACCACCAGTCTGTCTCTGCCCTGACCGACTTCTCCGGAGTTCCACTCTCGTCTTTCCAGTTGCCTGGGAGACACGTCCACCAGGACACCCCACAGATGCCTCGAGGAGCATTCAAATAAACTCCGGCTCTCTGCCCAGCCACAGCCCCCTGGATCTCCTGTTTCCTCTAGTTTGGCCCCTGCCCCTGCATCTGCTCGGCCTCAGAGATCTAGGGGTCACCTTAGGCTCTCTGCTCCCTGTGCCACACGCCCCACTGGCTTCGGACCTGGTCCTCTCCTGCAGCTCCACACCATGTCCCCTCCGTCCTCCCGCTGCTGCCCGTGCTAGCTGGGCTTCCTGCCTTCCTTTTGTCCTCTCCTTTCAGGTCACCTTCTGTCGGATGGACTTTCCCAAAGGCAGGTCTCACAGTGCCACCCCCTCCTTGGCTCCCTGGTGGTTAAAGGGGAAGCTACATGCATCCCTTGCCGAGCTGGCTGGGCCTCTCTTCCCAGCCTTCCACCCTCCCCCTCAAGGCTCACTTGTGTCTGCTTCCCTGAGTGTGACCTGGCCTGCCTGCGAGGTATGACCTTCCACTGAGCACGTACTCCTTCAAGCCCATCAGAAGCTTTCCCAACTTCCTGGCTGACTCTAGCATTTCCTCTACTGCTCTTCTAGAGGCTTCCCTGAGACCTCTTTTCAAGCAGCACACCACAAGGTTGTGGCCTTTTTCTCTTTACTTTTTCTTTTTTTTTTTCCCCAGAGGTTTTTGCCTTAAGGCGTGTGCGTTGCCTGGAGAGAAGAGACACAAAGACAGTGAGGGAAAGTGAGAAATCTCCCCCTGGGGACGTGGCCAGGCTGCAGTCCCTTCTCCTCCACTCTTCTCTCAGGATCTTGGGCGTACTCACACGTGCCCAGCATGATTTTCAAGCCACTGGGTCCAGGACCCACTGTTGTTCACACGGGAGTCCAGCGAAGTCACCACTACTCTGATGCTATCTGTTGGAATCTTTCTTTCTTTCTTTCTTTCTTTCTTTCTTTCTTTCTTTCTTTCTTTCTTTCTTTCTCTCTCTCTCTCTCTCTCTCTCTCTCTTTCTTTCTTTCTTTCTTTCTTCTTTCTTTTTTATCTTGTCTGTCCTCCTCACTAAGCCCCAAGCCCCTGGAAGCCAGGCCCTGCCATCAGTCGGTCACTGGTCTAGGCGTTAGTCCCTGGTCCAGTGGTGAGCGAGGAGAAGACGCTCTGTAAGTGTCAGTCAGCTGCATGTGTGGGTCAGGTTCAGGAGGTACAGAATCAGTTCTCTGAACTTTCTTCTCTCATCTCCTCCTAGACCAGCCAGGGCTCTTTTAGTGACACAAGGGGGACGGGCAGGTGTGCTTTGGCGACCCCGAGGGCGGGCTTCCCGGTGTCTCAGAGAGGCGCTGATGTGTGCAGCTGTGCCTTAAAGCTCTTACTCAGGC